GCGGGCTGCTGGGGTTTTTCGTTTCTTCATTATTTCACAAACCTAAAGCCCAAAACTGGAAACAGACTGTTTTTTATTTTTTTATTTTTTTTTTTTTTTTTTTTTTTAAAAGTTGTTGGATGCATTATCTATAAGTGAACAAACTAAAGGTATATTGAATTGCATAATGCAGACAACTCGCAGTTCTACTCCATGCTCATTAGCCAGTTCCTGCTTGCACTGCAGTTTGGGCACTGTAATTAGACTCCACACACCTGGGATAGGGAGCAGATTTACAAATAAGTCTCTCAGTGGAGAAAGGAAAATAATTTATGGATTTCAATCCCCTGAGCCATAAGGGCTCCTGCTGTCCTGTATGTGAGCACCAAAACTGATTTGCAGCAGTGTTGGCCTTCTCTGCAATGATCCCATTTTCTGAAAGCTCAACCTAATACAAAAAAAAATTAACTTTCTCTTAAAATGGTCATAAAATAAATGGCCCGCTCGTTTTTCTCAATGCTGCAAAACTTGCCTGGCCTTTCCAGAGGTTTTTTATTTTTGTGATGTTGTTTCTCACCTCCACAGGCAGCGTTCACAGGGAGAAGAAATTCCGGCCTCACAAACAATTTGGAGACCGTCGAGAAGATGTCTTTAGTGCTCGGACATACTTTTACGCTGATGAATCGAAATGCGACCAATTCATGGAGACCTTCCTGAAGTGTATTGCAGCATCTGGTACGACTCTGTTTTGTTAGGTGCTGTGGGTTTCCAGTAGTGTCGGTATACTCAATGCTGATTTTCTACTTTTCCATGGCTCACTCTCCAACTTACATTAGTTTCCTGCATCGTTGCTGTTGGTGCATAGTGGGTTGTCTGCTAATTACTGGCAGAGATGAATGATTTACTGTAGTCTTTTGATGTTCAGTGGGTTACTCCTTCACTGGTACTATCCATATTGCTGCTGGTGATTTTGGAGCACACTGGTTCAGTTCTCTGATTCATAGCTGCGCTCTGTACTATTTACAGGTGGGAGTTCCGAGGATGGATTTTCTGCCATCAAGCTGACAGCACTGGGGAGGCCACAGTTCCTGGTAGGATTCTAGTCTTATTTCTATATATATTAAAAACTTAGACTGGGGGCTGAATAACAACAGAGGAGAAGGTAGTGATGTGTGAAACAGTCATCAAACCTGAGCAATATTCCTCTAAACTGTAATGGTCTTATTAGCAATAAAGGTGGTGAAAAGAGCATACATTCTGTATAATGCTGTAAGGAAAGCGAGGCGGTATTTGTGCATCTCCTTGGGGTAATGGTGGGTGCTCTGTATGTTTGTTTCTGAAAGTCTGACTTTGTACTTGCTCCTTTCTCACTGCTGTCGTTCTAGCTGCAGTTCTCCGAGGTGCTGGTTAAGTGGCGTGGTTTCTTTCGCCAGCTTGCTGCTGAGCAAGGAAAAGCCGGCCAGGCTGTGGTTGACATGAAGCTGGATATGGAGCGACTGCAGGTCAGTGAATGAGTGCTTGGCCGAAATGAGGGAGTGCTGGGTGGGTTAGAGAAAGAGGCAAACTGCGAATCATCAGCTGCAATTTGTTTGTTATTTTTCTCTCCAGTAAGGGTATTTTACCTGATGTGGTAATATTTATGTTAGCTCTCATAACTAGGCGTGGAGTGGCAGTGAGTAATCCAACAGAGCTGAATATCATATGCAAATGTTGCATTCCTCGGGCATGTGGTTTATGGGCTAGTGTTAAGCCAGCAAATTTAGACGGTAGCAGATTTCTGGTACTCTCAGGCTTCAAAGAATCCCAGGTCAAGATCATAGAATCCCTACAGTGTGGAAGCAGGCCATTCGGCCCATTTGAGTTCACACTGATCATCTAAAGAGCATCCCACCCAGATTCACCCCCTACCCAATCCCTGTAACCCTGCGTTCCCAGTGGCTAATCCACTTAGCCTTCACATCTTTGGACTGTGGGAAGAAACCAGAGCACCCAGAGGAAACGCATGCAGACACCGGGAAACATGCACACTCCACACACAGTCGCACGAGGGTGGGATTGAACCCAGGTCCTCGGTGCTGTGAGGCAGCACTGCTAACCGCAGGGCCAATGTGCTGCCGATGAAGTAGGAGATCTTTATTCTCCAAGACCACATGCTGTGATAGTGATGATGTCATGAGAATACCCATTAAAGGCATATTGATATAATGTCCATGGGATATAACAGCTTCAGCACCAAGTTGCTTGACCATGATAATTTCATTGATTAAAAACAGAAATTGCTGTTCAGGGGAAGAATAGGTGCTCAACTAGAAACGTTAACTCTGCTCTTTCTCCATGGAAGCTGCTGAGTTTCTTTGGCAATTTCTGTTTTTGTCCTAGATTTCCAGCATCTGCAGTTCTTTGTTTTATTGTATGATACTGGTGGTCCGGTACAATTTCAGCATCACTTTTATCTCCCTTTGTTCACTTTAAAATCAAAGCCTAGGGTTTAGAATGGACAGATTTGGTGCAAACTAAATTGGCATACTGGAGATTGGGCCAGAGATTAATTTGCTGGGTCTCTGTCCCATTTCATTATTCATTTTATACCGGCCTTACTGGCCAGGCCAGCATTTATTGCCCATCCCTAATTGCCCAGAAGCCAGTTAAGATTCAGCCAAAAAACAAAAGAAAAAACCGAAAGAACTGTGGATGCTGTAAACCAGGAAACAAAACCGAAATTGCTGGAAAAGCTCAGCAGGTCTGGCAGCATCTGTGAAGGAAAGAACAGAGTTAATGTTTTGGGTCCGGTGACCCTTCCTCAGAACTCCGATTCAGCCATATTGCTGAGAGTCTGGTATCATGCATAGGCCAGACTAGGTAAGGATGGCAGATTTCCTTTCCTAAAGGACATTAGTGACCCAGATGGATTTTTACAACTGATAATTGTTACACGGTGGCCATTAGAAATGTTTTTTTTTGACGGAAGTGCACTTAGTGGGCTGTTTATAGAAACTGGAGGCCCAAAGCCAAATGGAGAATCTGCTTCAATATTTGAAATGTATTGAAAACAATAATTTTTTCTGTCAGAATTGGCATTCGTTGCCTCCTGGTAGGGAGGACATCTATGGAGAGAAAAATGGTATGTTACCAACACTGCATTTAAATACCTTTTTTGTGCCAGTTTTGCCACACAGATTGACAGAAGGCTAGTGATTGTAGGCGTACCTATTACCGACACTATATTGACCTACTGACCATGGGACATAATGGCTTCAGTACCATCCTGACTGCAGTTCCAGCAATTAAGCAGCTTTCTGGGATTTGAAGGGAGAAAGTGAAACCTCGGCCTGAAGTGAGGATTATTTTTCTCTCCTTTGTCTACGTTGAATAACATTTTAAGATGATTTTCTGTTTGCTTTTGCCTACAGAATAGCTTGACTAAACTTGGCATAGCCACCTTGGAAGAGATCACCGACTGGTTTGATGGAGAGAAGATTGGACAGTCTGGGTAAGCACCTGGTTCAAGCACACTCCTGTGCATCTCACTCCATGTGTGTGGCTGTAGGTACTGTTTACTGACATCCTGTGCTTTTCTAGAACGTTCTGTGCAAGATCCATAGGCTGTAATCCAGCAGTGCTGACATTAACGTTAATCACACTGCAGAGATACAAGGGCAAATCGTGGTACCCACCTGAAGGCGGCTTGGGGAAGTTCAAGTGCAGGAGGAGGTGTAGCGCGTGAATGGGTTTTATCAATCAGTCACATGAGGGGATCCTCCAGCGTAAAGAGGTATCCTCAGGTATACTGACAGGTATGATCAAACTCTGCTAATGCTATGGCCAGCTGCTCCATGCACGCATGCCCTGCGTTCCACACGGCTTCCCCATTGTCTACGGTTACTAATTTGACATGTAGTCGTTGACAGTCCAGTATCTTATTCCTGCAGCGTGTCGTTAGAGATTATAACAACTTCCAAAAAAGAAACTTTTCACTACTTCTCTCCTTTTATTATCTTCCTTTTTTTTTTCCTCCTTCTGTCTTTAATTTGACTCCAATTTGTCTAATTTTCTTGTGTCATTCTCCATCTCTTCCTCAATCATTACACCTGAAAATGTGATTAGGAGCCGCGTTAGGCCATCCAACCCGTGGAGTCTGCATTGCCACCCTGTTGATTGAGGAAGTGGACTGTTCTCCTGCCCAGTGTCTGTGTGACCTATTACTCTTGTTATCAGTTCACATTTTGCTGTAGGATTTTGAGGCAAAGGATGAGGGAGGAAGTCTAACTAATGGACGCACCAAGACATGCTCCACTCCAGCAAATTCTGGGCTGTTCTGTCCCAAGAAAAGCTCATTGGCTCACTGAGTGAGTGTAGTTTTCGACGTGATGTTGTTCCAGATGAGCTAGCTGATCTCGGCCAAGACTGTCTTTACGTTACAATTGACCAAACTGCTCTAGGAGTAGAGAATGGTAAAATCAGTCATCCCTGCTCCTGAAACTTATTCGGTGACCCCAGCTGGACAGTACTTGCGTAAGTGGTGAATGAAGTCAAGGTTAAGTTGATTTCCTGTTTCCTAAAGACACTCATTATCCAGATTCTCTCCACAATAGAATGCTTGCAACCCTGCAGGAAACCACTTGGGCTGTCGTATCCATGCTGGTTATTTCCACTCCCCTGCCTTTTCCTTATTCCAGTTTTTATTTCCTCTTTGGCTGCTTATCTAATTCCCTTTTGAAAGACAAGGTTGAATCTGCCTCCACCAGGCACGCAGAAGGTTCATTCCGGATCTGAACCACTTGCTGTGTCTTTTTTAAATCCTGTCACCTTTAGCTTCTCTTGCTAATTGCCTGAAATCTGTGACCTTTTGGTTCTTGACCCTTTTACCAGTGCAACAGTTTCTCTGTAACTGTTCTGTCCAGGCCCCTCGTGACTTTTCCATTTGACCTTCTCTCAAATCACCACCTCTGCAAGGTGAACAGCCCCGTTACTCAAATCGATCCTCATAATTGAAATCTGTTATTCTGCAGTGTATTGTGCACCCTCTGTACTGTCTTCATATCCTTATTAAAGTGTAGTGCAGTTTTTCCAGTTGAGGCTGAATCAGTGTTTTATAAGGATTCAGCATCATGTCCTTGAATCAGTACTTGATGTTTCTACTTACTGCCTTTTAAAACCTGCCTCTTTTAGCCTGCCTGAATCCCACCTTCAACAATTTATGCATGTATACCCCCAGGTATCTTTTGCTGCCAGACCTACACTACAATTATATATTTTGTTTTCTTTCTCATGCATTGTTCCAACCAAAATGTTTCACTTCACGTTTCTTTGCATGATAACTTGCTTGGTCACCTGGGTGAATCACTGGGGCTCTTGGTATCCCAGAAATAGTACCTGCCTGTAAGAAGAGAGCTGTCAAAAAGGAAGTTGACAGAGAGGAGGTTGTAAAAGAAGAACTGATAACTGGTTAACAGGCATCAATTTCTCATCGCTATTGCACATCCTGCGGGAAGTTTGTCACTTGTGTTGTATTGTGCAAGGTATTATTAACGTGGGTATGTCCTTATCCATAGCACTGACTCGTGCCCTTTTCTCCTCTTTCTTTCAGCACTGTAGACCTGTTGGACTGGAATAATCTGATTGACAACAGGACAGAAGTTGCCAAACTCTTTGTAGTTCCAAACCTACAGGTATAGAGCCTTGAGTGAGCAGCATACGGGCTAGACACTAGAGTTATGACCTATTTGTGCTGAAATGATGTCTGTGTAAGACAGGGTAGCGAGCTCTGCCTGTTGCTGTCCGTGGTTTCGAGTTCTTTAGATTGTTCCACCTTGCAATACAGGACAAGTTGGCAGAGGGGTGAAGGTCTGCTTCGCTGATTCCTTTTTCTCCCATCCTCACTTAGGACCCCATCCCAAATCCCAGAATTGGGAACACCAGAACTGACATGGTTCTTCACCATTTGTGAAGTATGCTGCAGTGCGGACCACCTCAGTCACCTACCAGCGGACAGAATGAACCACTACCCATCTGCCTGAGGTGTCCACAAACCCTACTGAATTGCAGGAAAAGATTCTGATGTTTGTCTTCCATTCCAGTTGGTGTTTTGCCTCTTTTTAGAATTGAGTAGTTGGTTACCTCACTGCAGCACACCCTTGGAACCTACTTGTAACTCATCATGGATCTGATTCCCCTCCTTCAGAGCCCTGTAGGTTGGATTGAACACCTTGTACAGAATGACCTGTCTGTGAATTCTCCCCGATGCAATATCTCTCCTTTCTGAAGTGAGACCTTTTGTGCGCTGGGACCATCACCCCTTTTTATGCCAGAATTTAAAAGGCCACAAGCCAAACAGGATACAGTACAATTTCAAATTTCTAGCCACCTGGGTGTCATTGAATGTATTTGCTCTATCAAGCCCCTGGTAGTTTGAAAACCCTTGTATCTTGACGAAGCTTTGCTGTTACATGACTATTGTCTTCAGCTGTGTTTTTAACTAAGCTCCTTGAATGTTTTCTGTTCAGAAATTCTTTATTTTTGCCCCATGTTTGGTCACTGGAAGCTTTTGGTATAATCAACAACAATGTCTACCCTTCACATGCAAAGTAAAGCTCCCTCCCTCCCTCCTGTTTCTGCAGCTTTCTAGTGTTCAGTTAGATGTGAAATGAAGGCTGGCGTCACAGATTGACTGCATGGTCCCTTCTTGTACCGTGCCAATGTGGGCTGCTGGCTCTCCAAAGGAGCAATTTCACTCATCCACTCCCTGTTGCTCTTTCCCAACACCACCGCCCACCCCCTGCAAAATAAGTCTGAACATGCTTCCATTTTTCAGATAACTTATTCATATCCTTCTTGAATGCCTCTTCCACAGCCTCCACAGCCTCCATCTCTATAATGTCTTGCAGCCCTAAAACCATCAGTGCACTCTGGGTTTCTCCAACTCTGACCTCTTGGCATCCTTCACTTAATTCAACACCACTCCCCCAGTTGGCAGCCATGCCTTCAGTTTTCTAGATTGGAATCTTGAATTGAATTCCCTTCCTAACTCTGTTTGTTTTTCCTCCCTCCTTTTTAAAGACTCTCCTTAAAACACCCCGTATTGAGTAATTTGTTCACCTGTTCTAATGTCGCCATTTTATTTGAATCTGTCTATATTCTTGGCGTGACTGGAAGGTTTGAGCTACGGGGAGAGGCTGAATAGGCTGGGGCTTTTTTTCGCTGGGGCATCAGGTTGAGGGCTTATTTTATACAGGTCTATAAAATGAGGAGGGTTGTGGATAGGGTGAATAGCTAAGGTCTTTTGCCTGGACTAGGTGGCATAGATTTAAGGTCAGAGGAGAAAGATTTAAAACTGACATGAGGGATAAACTTTTTCACGCATAGGTTGGTGCATGTATGGAATGACCTGCCAGAGGAAGTGGTGCAGGTAGGTACAATTGCAACATTTAAAAGGCATCTGGATGGGTATATGAATAGGAAGAGTTTAGAGGGATATGAGCCAAATGCTGGCAAATGGGACTAGTTCAGATTGGGATATCTGGTCAGTACAGACGAGTTGGACCGAAGAGTCTGTTTTCTGTGCTGTAATAATTCCAAGACTGCACTCCTGTGAGGCACTTTGGAGTGTGTTCTCACTTCAAAGTTGCTGTTTAAACAGAAGTTGTGTCATTGAACCCATAACGACTGGTTCCTGGGTGACTGTTCCCAATTCACTAGGATTCTGCATGGGGTATGCCTAAAAGGTGAAGGGGAATGAACTTGCTCCCCTCCTTTACTCAACCTCTCCCTTGGTTGGTCGCAACAAGGTTAATTTATAAAAAAAACTTTTCTCTCATAAGTACCTTTTCCCAGCCCATATGTCTTAAAATAAGCCACTGTAAGCAGGCTTCCTTCAGTTAAAGGAAGAGTGACTTTATTAGCTACTGCCATGGTTCAGGAAGGCAGTTCACCACCAACTTCTCAAAGGCAACTAGGGATCAGCAATAAATGTTGGCTGAACCAGAGATGCTCATATCCCAAGAATGGGGACACTTTTTTATTTAAAAAATAGTAAAGATGATAAAATGCTGCATTTGTACACCAGTTAGAAATGGGAGACAAGTCCAAAAAAATTAGAAGTTTTTTAAAAGAAAACCCATTTGTGGCTTGTCTGTGACGAATAGGTTGTGAAATGGTGCAGCCCTTAAAGTGGTTGATTCCGGTAGTGATGACTTTAGCAGTTGAATTTTTTATGAACCCAGTCGATGTTGCTACTGAACAGATCAGATCCCAGAATGAAATCTGGCCTAATGGAATTTTTTTTTAAAGTGGTGGTCATTCACTGATGTATAGGCTCATAAGACTGCAAAATCTTCTTTAATAATCAAACAAAAAGTTTATTTCACAAAAAGGAAGAAAATAAAATCATACAAACAGTGCTATCTGAACGTGGAACAGAGTTCAAGAGATATTTAAACAGATAGCAAAACAAAGTGACATCTGTTCTGCAACACCCGTCACTTCAGTGTTTTCAAATCTCGAGATATTAACCTTCTATGCCAAATCTTTGGGTTGACTTAACTTCTCCCTAGCACTGTCATATGAACTCTGAAGTTGTCTTGTCATGAAACTGAAAGCTTAGACATTTTTAATAACTTAATAATTATTGATTTCTGACCAAACACCTATGGTCTGGAAGTTTCACAAGCTAAACTTTTATACCAAGGTAACTGAACTATCGGGTTTCCTCCAAAAGTTTCAATCTCTGGATTCTTTAAGCTGAGATGAATCTTGATTATTCTAAACCATAGGCAAGCTAATGCCCTTCAATGTTTACTCCACTTATCATAAACCGTACAGTAGCAACAATCTTCTCGTCTTCCAAGTGTTTTACAGTTAGCTACTCTGATACATTCCAGATGAGGTCACTGCTCCAGATCAGAAGGACAGCTGACTTTATTTTAAAAGCCTGCATAAAAGTAATCAATAAACCACCAGGGGGAGGCAATGGTCTAGTGGTATTATCGCTGGACTGTTAATCCAGAGACCCAGATAACATTCTGGGGACCCAGGTTCAAATCCCACCATGGCTGATGGAATTTGAATTCAATAAATATCTGGAATTAAGAGTCTAATGATGACTGTGAAACCATTGATGATTGTCGGGGGGGAAAACCCGTCTGGTTCACTAATGGCCTTTAGGGAAGGAAACTGCCATCCTTACCTGGCCTGGCCTACATGTGACTCCAGTCTCTCAGCAATGTGGTTGACTCTTAACTACCTTCTGGGCAATTAGGGATGGGCAATAAATGCTGCTTAGCCAGCAACGCCCTCATCCTGTGAATGAATAAAGGAAAAAAATGTTTGAAATCCTATATGTATTATATCTCACACCTTTCATCTCAAGTGACTGTTTCAAAGAAATAATACATGTTGCACTTAATTTTAATTTGTGTGTAAGCAATGTGCGGTTATGATCCATTTTCATGACATACCATTTCAGCAGGTGCTTGTACAAGCTTTTCCATCCATGTCGAGCGAAGGCTCTGACTGTTAGAATAATGGCTACTTGTGGTTTTGTTGCAGACCGGTGAGATTGAACCACTCCTCCTACAGTTCACGGAGGAGGAGGAACTCCAGATGAAAAGGATGCTGCAGAGAATGGATATTCTAGCAAAGGTAGGAAATGTTCAAAGGGAATTGGAGTCCCATTGGAGTCTGTGATTGAAAGTGGAACTGCCAGCTCATTTGAATTACAATGTCTTGATTCCCAGCCACACTTGTGTTAATTCACACAAAAAGCAAAAATGAACTTCCGTTGGCATTAAGCCGGTTGCCTCTGTTTTGTATGAACTTAATTGCCAGTTTTAGGATGAAGCAGCCAAAGGCATGACTTTGGTTCTGTGACCACAGTGGGATTTTCTTTTATTGTACTGAGAGAAGCAGGCAGATGTTGTAACCTCTGTTTTAGTCTTAAACTTGTTGACATTCCGTGGTAGGAAGCCTTGAAGAGGGGTGTCCGCCTCATGGTTGATGCCGAGCAGACCTATTTCCAGCCAGCTATCAGCAGGCTGACCCTGGAGATGCAGAGGAAATTTAACACTGAGAAGCCCACTATCTTCAATACCTACCAGTGTTACCTAAAGGTAAGGCTGCACTCTGTTTTCCATGGGATGGGGAAAACCATTATCCCTCTTTGTCTGCTGCTCTCATTGTCACGTGCACAGATTGAAAACTGCAGGATGCAGAGGAAAAGCCCATGTTTTGTGATGGCCAGCTCCCGAGCAGACACACTTCAGGTCCTAACTCTCTTGGTATGAGGATGATCACACTGAAGCTATAACAAAGTCACTAAGGGCTGCTATTATACATGGAACCGTATCTCAGCCAGTTGTTGTATCCTTGAGAGGAGAAGAACTCTCATTTAAATGGTGTCGTTGGTGACCACAGGACGCCCCAAAGTGCTTTGCAGCCGGTGAAGCGTTCCTGAATTCCCGTCACTGTCATTTTGTGGGATATGTGACAGCTGATCTCTCACCCAGACAGATCCCACAAATGGCAAGAAATATCTTCCCAGATGCCAGGGCCAACTCTGCAACTCTCAGAATTAATGAGGTTGGATCGTTTACATCCAGCTGAAAAAACAGCCGGGGCCTTGCTTTAATGTTCCAGTAAAATACTGACAATACTACACAGCAGTGCCAGCTTAGATTATATACTGTACTCAGACCATTGAACAGGAACCTACAGCCTTTTAGCACTTGGTTAAGTGTGCTGCAGACTAAACTCTCCAGGAGAGCTGAACCAGAAAGGGCTGTCAACTGGTCAGGCAGAAGTCAGAATATGGTTACACCTTATTCTCTTAACCGGTTATGTCAAATCCTTGCCCTCTTGATCCTCTTACAAATCCTAATCACAAGAGTTTTGGTAGCCCATGGGCAAGGTAACTGATGGGTAGCATGAACCAGTATCTGTAAGGCTCATGTCTATACTCTTCTTTGACTGTAGTCTGTTATGGAGAATTTAACATGTTGTGTTACTGTATTGCTGTCCAAAGCCTCACTAAGAGTCTGATGGATTTTTTTTTTTTTCCATTTCCTTTCAACCACTCCAGGATGCTTATGATAATGTGTCTATGGATGTAGAACTGTGCTGCCGGGAAAACTGGTACTTTGGGGCAAAATTGGTGAGAGGTGCATATATGGCCCAAGAACGAAAGCGTGCCAGAGAGATTGGATATGAGGATCCCATCAACGAAACCTATGAAGATACAAATAACATGTATCACAGGTAGGATCCATACTGATACTGTGCAAGTTTGATGAATGCTCTGTGCTCACCCTCCCTCAGCCATAACCCACCACTTGAAGTACTCACTGCACTTTCTGTTACAATTGCGCAAACCTTCATCCGTGAACTTAAGAACATGATAGGAGCAGGAGTAAGCTATCTGTCCCCTTGAGCCTGCTCCAACAGCCAATAAGATCATGCCTAATATTTTTGTTGACTCGGCTCAACTAACCTGCCCGCTCGCCATGACCCTAATTCCTTTACTGTTCTAAAATGTACCATTGCCTTAACATTCGATGAGGTAGCCTCAACTGCTTCACTGGGCAGGAAATTCCAGATTCACAACCCTTTTGAGTGAAAAACTTCTTCCTCAACTCGGTCCTAAATCTGTTCCACTTTTATTTTGAGGCTAAGCTCCCTTGTTCTAGTTTCACCTGTCAGTGGAAACAACCTCCCTGTTTCTATCTTATCTATTCTCTTCATAATTTTATAAGTTTCTATAAGGCCACCCTCATTCTTCTAAATTCCAATAAGTATAGTACCAGTCAACTCAATATCCCCTCATAAAACAAACCTCTCAATTCCAGAATCAACCTAATGAATGTCCTCTGCACCCTCTCGAGTGCCAGTACATCCTTTCTCAAGTAAGGAGACCAAAACTGTACACAGTACTCCAGGTGTGGCCTTACCAGCACCCTGTGCAGATATAGCATAAAGTTTGACACACTACACTCGGTCCACAACTCTAAATCATCTATGCAAATAATAAACATACCTTTTTGGGTGGGTGTATGCTGGCCCTCTCTCGGGCGTGCTCTCACTCTCTCCCAGTGCTATTTCCTGTCTTGCAAGCTTGTGATGACAATATCTCTCACACACACCTCCCTCTCCCTCGTGTGCGCATGCTGTTTCTCCCCCCACCCACCACTCCTGCACTGTGCATGCCTTCTCCCACCTCACACTCTCTCTGAGGTGAGTATATCAGTGCACAGGGTGATATTGGAGTGATCCCCAGAATTGCCTCAGTTGGTGAGGTGTTTAGAATTAGACAAGTCTATGGAGCTCCCTCTGGCATCTCTTTTGATTGCTAGTGAAAGAACCTTTTCTAAAGAAGGGAGTTAACAGCCCTGGGGCAGGTTTGCCAGCACTGCCAAATCTTCTGGCTTGGCTGTGGACTGATCAATTTGTCGTTTCATGAATTTAGAAAAACAATGCATATGCGAGTCAATGGCAGTGCCTGGATGGTAACTGTAGAACAAAGATTGCACAAGCTTGGTTGTGGGCGGAACATAAAAACTGTGTAAAAGTTTCTGTAGGTATGTGAAGACTGAAAGATCTGTGAAATCCAATATAGCTCGCGTATAGTCTCAAGCCAACCTTCCACCCATTAACTCCATCTATACTTCTCGCTGTCCCAGGAAAGCAACCAACATAATCAAACCCCTCCCACCCTGGTTGCAATCGCTTCCAATTTCTTCTGTTGGGCAGAAAATACAAAAGCTTAAACACATGCCAACAGATTCAAGAACCGCTTCTTTCCCGCTATTATCAGATTTCCAAATGGACTGCTCAAATTTTAAATCTAATGTTGATTTTGCTCTTTGTGCACCTTCTCTGCAGCCGTAACATTGTATTCCTCGCTCTGTTCAGTCACCCTAATGCACTTTGTGTAGTATGATCTGTCTATACTGCACGCAAAGCAAAACTTTTCACTGTACCTAGGTACATGTGACAATAATAAATCAAATCAAGAAACAGGGGCATTTATAATAGGGAACAAAGAGTGGCTGACCAAGTAAATCCAGATTTTGGTTCTGTGCTCACAAAGGATGACTCAAATGGCATCAGAAATTTTGGAGAGCACAGGGTTTAATGGAAGGCTGGTACTGAAGGAAATTGGTGTTATTTGAGAAATGATGTTGGGGAAATTGAGATTGAAGGCCAATTAAATCTTCAGGGCCTCATAATCTACATTCCAGAATACTTGGAAGTGACCCTAAAAATAATGGAAGACGACCACTAATGCATCCATGATTCTAGACTCTAGAACAGTTCCTACAGATTAGAGTGTAGCTAATGTAAACTCTCTATTTAAAAATGGAGGTGGAGACAAAATCAGGAATTATAGACCAGTCAACCTGATGTCGATAGTGGGAGAACTGCTTAAATCAGCTAATTAAAAAAAATATAGCTGAGCATTTGGAAACAGTGACAGAATCAGACAGAGTCAGCATGGATTTATGATGGGGAAATCATGCTTGACAAATCTACTGGAATTGTTTTGAGGATATAAATAGTAGATTTGATCGGGGGAGCCACCGAATGCAGTTTATTTGGACTTTCGGAATGCTTTCAACAAAGGTCCACAAGAGGTTAGTATGTAAAATTAAAGCGCATGGGAGTGTGGATCATGTATTGAGATGGATTAATTGATATTGCAGATATGGAACAATGAGCAGGAATAAATGGGTCTTTTTCTGAATGGCAGGCAGTGACTCGTGGGATACCACAGGGCTCTCTGCTAGGACCCCCAGCTATTCAGAAAGGATTAATAATTTGGATAAGGGAACTAAATGTACAATCTCTGAATTTGCAAGTAACACAAAGCTGGGTGGGAGGGTGAGCTATGTGGAGGATGCAGAGATATTTTAGATGTTTCGGAGATGATTTGGACCGACTGAGTGAGTGGGCAGCTGCAGTATAATATGAATAAATGTGAGGCTATCCACGTTAGAAGCAAAAACAAGAAGGCATATTGTTATCTGACCGTATATTGAGCGAGGGGGAATGTGCGACGAGATCTGGGTGTCATCATGCATCAGTCGCTGAAAGTAAGCATGAAGGTGAAGAAGGCAGTAAAGAAAGCAAATGCTGTGTTAGTCCTTACAGTGAGAGGATTTGAGTACAGGAGCAGGGATGTCTTGCTGCAATTAGAGTCCTGGTGAGACCACAGCTGGAATATCGTGCACAGTTTTTTGCCTCCTTAGCAGAGGAAGGATATTCTTGCTGTAGAGAGAGTGCAGCAAAGATTTACCAGACAGAGTCCAGGGTTGGCAGGAGTGAAGTATGAAAACAGATTGGATTGGTTCACATTTTGTTCATTGGATTTCAGAAGAATGATGGGTTGATAGGATTTTCTGGCTTTCTATGAGAATTCCATCAACTAGATTGGGAACATTCTTCCTGCATCTACCCTATGGTGGGAGAGTCCAGAACCAGGGGTTGCAGTCTAATGATGCACAGTGAAACTATCTACAATTGAAATGAGGAGAAATTTATTCACCCAAAGAGTGGTGAGCCTGTGGAATTCACTGCCTCAGAAAGCAGCCAAGGACAAAACATTGTATGATTTTTATGAAGGAGTTGAATATAGCACTTGGGACTAAAGGGATCAAAGGTTATCAGGAGAAAAGCAGCAACAAGCTCTTGATTTGGATGATCATAATAAATGGTGGATGAGGATTGAAGGGCTGAATGGCCTACTTCTGCTGAGAATAACTTCTTTCCTGTACAGCGAGAATATCCTTCCTGGGATAAGGAGGCCAAAACTGTGCACAATATTCCGGCTGCGGTCTCACCAGGGCCCTGTATAACTGCAGTAAGACATCCCTGCTTACAGAAGTGAGCAGTTTACACCCCTCCTGCGTGTTGTTACCCAAGGCGTTGCTTATCTTTCCGGTTATCTTTGTATCTGATGGGCATGTGCTGGATTCCTGGAGTTTCTGATCTTCTGTTGTTGAAATTTCAGGTGTTTGGATTACATCCTGGATGAAATCAAAGTGAACAAGAAAGCCAATGTAATGGTGGCTTCGCACAATGAGAAAACAGTTGCCTATACACTGCACAGGTAATCTGAGGTTGGGGGGGTTGCGGTCTGCATTGTCTTGCATCTTTTTGGGTGATGTATTTCAGTATTCTGGAGTGAGTGATGTTTGTGTTGTTACTTTGTCACGGTTTTTATACCCCCTCACAACTGGGGGTTATGGTGTATGCAGAGTATTGTCTGTACATTTTGAGGTATCGTGGTGCCTGTTCCCTCCCCTGCCTTCCAGCTTCCATCAGCAGTGGAAGGATTTTTACTAGTTTCGGTTACTTGTGACAGTGGCTGAAATTTTAAAAGCAAACCTTGTTAGGACAAAGTAGAACATCAAGACGATACTGGTGGAGTGAGTGCACAGATTGCAGGCCAGGTGCAATGCAGAGAAGTGGAAGCTGATTCATTGCAGTGGGAAGAACATGGAGGGACAATGAGATAAAGGGTCCTCCCTCCAAAATGAGTACGAGAGCAGAGACTATTAATGGTTTTATCGGGCAGGTTGTAAGGCTTTATTAATGGAAGTGTCGAGTAGAGGAGCAAGGAGGTTGTATTGAACTTGTATAAAACACCAGTTCAACCTTGGGTTCATATCTGGGTGGTGCTACACTTGACAAAGGGTGTGAAGGCCATTGTGACTCTTTGCAGGAATGATGTGTTTGTCCTGAAGATGAATTGAAATTAGTGACTGTTTCTCCTGGAGAGGGGAGGACTGAGCGAAGGATCTGATGGAGCTTTTGCAAATCATGTGGAAGTACATATTCTCACGCATAAAGAGATCAAGAAAAAGAGGGCACAGATTTTGATGTAATTCGTAAACGAAGCAAAACAATATGAGAACCTTTTGTGCGGAGAATGAGTTATTGTCTGGAATACATTGCCTGGAGGCAGTTTCAGTTGAGGCAATCAGGAAGGAAAAGCAGTAATGTATAGGGTAATGGCGAGAGGGCATATGGGTGATTTGGAGACCAAATATAGCCCCCTTCTGTGCTGTAACAAGCATGTGATTGCTTTGTTTTAAACAATCCCCACTCCATTCGCCATCCTCCTTCAATGGTTTTAATTCTTGACATAGTCCATCACATTGGTTCATGAGAATCCTGCAGTTTGAATACTTTTATTGCACCCAGTAAGGATTTGCTCTTTCCTCTGTCTGAAAGGCACCCAATGCCGGACATTTCCGATCAGACAACTGTGGGTTTCCTTTGGGTGTTTCAGCTGAAAGCTTCCGGGCTCCCTCATTTATCACTCCTCACTGTAAAAATGAAAGATTCTGAAGAGACTCACTGGGAAATCTGGTAGGCTATTTGCTGACATTTTGGGAAGGGGTGATGGTACTTGAGACTCTGTTTCTCCTGTTGGTGATTCCCACTGTTCCTATTTGCCCTCATTTATGGTTCGACTGTAGCTTTTCACCTGTTTTTTGCTAGGTCCAGTGTTGGTGATGCCTTGGCTGACCCCTTCATGCCCCTGACCCTAGTTTGTGGAACCCAAAAACTAAGACTTTAATGAATAAGGGGTGTCTGTTGAGTTTGTAACCCAACTGCTTGAACATCCCACTGGGTCTGCCCCCTCTGCCAAAGGGGAACCTCAGCTCAAGGTGTGTTGGTTTGAATTTCTATCCATTAGTTGCTAACTCTGTCCTCTTTCTCTCGCAGAATGCATGAACTTGGACTCCATCCATCATCTAGGAAGGTCTACTTTGGCCAGTTGCTGGGCATGTCTGATCAGATCAGCTTCCCCCTTGGTATGTGAAGCACAAACACCTGATCTTAAAATAACTGCGTAAAAGACCCTCATAGCTAACTCAATGTCCAGGTAATCTTTCCCGTTAGCGACATTAGTCACTGCTGGTCTTGTTTTAGGGCCTTGCTTTTCCTGTATTAGACAGGCCTCTGTGTAGGATCCAAATCCCTATAGGTTTTCCCATTTCCTGGGGGTATATTCCAGAAATGTCAAATCTGTTGAGATTATAGAATGTGACTTGTAGAGACTTGAGGCACAACTTAAAGTTTGTACTCGTTTTTGAAAAATTGGGCTTTGGTCTCTTTTAAAGAGCCCAGGAGAAGTGGCTGGGCTAAAGGGGAAAGATTTAAAAGGGACCTATGGGGCAACTTTTTCATGAAGACGGCGGTGCGTGTATGGAATGATCTGCCAGAGGAAGTGTGGAGGCTGGTAGAATTACAACATTTAAAAGACCGCTGGATGGGTACGTGGAAAGGAAGGCTTTAGACGGGTATGGGCCAAATGCTGGCAAATGGGACTAAATTACTTTAGGATATCTGGTCAGCATGGACAAGTTGGCCCAAAAGGTCTGTTTCCATGGTGTACATCTCTATGACTCTATAACTGTCTGAGTTCCAACTAGCTGGAACCTGTGGTGGTGTTAACCCTCACAGCGCTTCATGCCTAATCTTAGATTTTAAAATTGGATGTTACCACGGCATTTAAAATAATGTAACTTGGACTTGTCTAGTGCTCCAGGGAGAGTTTCTCTTTAATATATAAACTTAACCCTTTTCATTCTGTCTCCCATAGGCCAGGCTGGCTACTCGGTGTACAAATATGTCCCTTACGGCCCAGTGGAAGAGGTTTTGCCCTACTTGTCCAGGCGTGCACAGGAAAACAGAGGCATGGTGGCAGGAACCCAGCGGGAGCGTGACCTACTGTGGAATGAGCTGAAACGCAGGATCTTGCAGGGGCACTTATTCCAAACCGTGTATTAGAGAGCTGCATGCAAGGGGAGGGCCTGACAGTCTGGTTTTCAAGGTGGCTACTGGGTAGGAGAGGAGGCATGTTCTCTACATTGATGCACAAAGTGCTTTAACAGTGCTGGGAGAGAGATGTTCTCCTGTGATTTGTTTAAGGGGACTCGAAGCTTTGGTAAAAGTGTCTCCCACAAACCAAGCTCAAAGCAAAAGTAATTCTGCTTGATGGTCTTTAGTAACTGAGCTGTCTTGGCGTCTGGCCCTTTTTCTCCTTAGGGCTGCAAGGTGCGACAGCTCTTTCCTTCTATTTACTTTCAACCCATCCAAAGCCTGTTGGATACATTAACATTTAAACATCTTGCACCATATTACTATGAAGAGTCCTAATTGTTATTAGGGACATTCCCCTTCATACTTTAGGTAACTTCGGTAAAGCTATAGGGAAACGGCAGAGAGACAGTGCATTTGTTTCTGCTGAACTTCCGACGTTAGATCTGGCAAGCCTCCTATTTTGTGGATCTTTTTGGAAAGTATATGGGGACCCCCTAAGGAGACCCATTGCATTACAGAAATATACCGGCCTGTTGTTGTCTCAGATGTTGATGTTGCTGTCAGTTTCTGCTTTCCTCCTTGGGAAGGTGAGATGATGCCTCATCCTGTTTTATTGTTGAGGCAGTTACCCTTTGTGGGGCGGTGGGGTATTGTCTTTGCAGATATTGACGAAAATCGTGAATTGGAAAGAAATGTCTCCCTTTGTAGGTTTGCTACTCACCGCATTTGTTTAACAATACAAAAGCCCTCTTTAGTAATTCTCCAGTTTTTGTTTGACAGGAAGTTACAATAGTAAAGAAATTTTTTAAAAATGCCATCTTTAACTTATGCAAGTTCCTCTCCTCAGGCTACTGGGAGGAGTGTAGGGTGAGTCTGCTCTGATGCTTTGCACAACAATTGCTATGACATTATTACTCTGCTGTTTGTGTGTGAACACTGGAGGCTGTGATAATGAGCCCTTTCATCACAGACTGAACACTTGCGTACCTCCTGACAGAAAGAGCCTGTCATAAGGCATATGAGCTGCCTGCTCCACTTGCTAGATTTTGACAGTGTATTTACGTGTGTGTGTGTGTGTGTATATATATGTTACCACTGTGGTTACAGCGCACTAATGAATGTGCCTCAAACTCAACACTGGAAATGGACCGAATAATCTTCAATTGCAACTTTGATTCATTGAAAATGTGCAAATTAGTTTGAAACTGTTATCTGAATTTTTTTCAGATTTCTGTGGAGATTTGTCATTGATCTAACCATTAACCTGCTACTCTTGCCTCAAAGGGGAAAAAATACTTGCGCACAAGAAGATAAGAAACATTGTCTTCTGAGTGTTATACAATGTGTGATATTTGCTCTCTGCAGCTGCTGGATTAACCTTATTACGAGCACTTTGCAGTATTTTAGTCGACCTGCAAAGCTCTACTTCAAAGGCAGATGTTGATCTTTGCCACTTAACTGTGTAATGTGGACAGAACTGACCTACTGGAGGTGTTTGTGTTTAATGAGAGACTTTCCAGTTTTCAGTGGGTCACTTGATGTTTGGTATTAATCCACTGTCACAGTAACCAATGAGGAAGTTATCCACTCCCTTCCTTTCTTAGTGTCTATTGGCCCATCAGACCTTTCCAAATGCACGGGAAACTCCAGCTACATTGTCTCATCATGCTTTGTAAAGTCAAAAAATCCAAGTTAGTAAACCAGCCAAGCCTAGGAATGCCTGGTGGGTTGACAGATTATTCGCAATCCCACCCTCCCCACCTCTCTGATCCAGTCATGTTTCTCACTGTTTATCAGAAAACTGACTCTGTCGAGCTTTCCAACTAGTAACAGTGATCATTTGACTTTGGATTAAAGAAGAGTTTAGATGTAAGCAGCAGAGAGAAGTGAGAAATAAGTCTGACTACAGCAGCAATAATCCTTAATCATTTTTGATTAAAGGGTTTCTCTTCAAATGTATCGGTAATCCCAGACCACATTCTTCCCCCAACCATGTACAACTCATGTAAATCAAAATGGGAAAGTGTTGCATGTGAAGAGTTTTTAATTTATTGAAGTAAACAGGTTTTTACTTAGATATTTACTTAAGGATATAGCCAACTTCCCACATCTTTAGCACTCCTTCATTTGGGATGTACTCCTAAGGTCAGTCAGCCCACACAATCTGAACTGCACATGTTGCAGTTGCGCTCCTCTCTCTCTCTTCCTGAATCATGCTGAGCCTATTTCTGAATGTCCATGAGTTGCTGCCCTATTGGGGAGCATGCCTGGGATCTGTAGTACATAGGGATCCCTAGTGAGACCCACTGCTGTTGTCTCGGATGTTGAAGTCACTTTCTCGTTTGCTCTGGGGAAGGTGAAATGATGCCTCGTCCTTTTTTTTATGTGGGGTGTTGGGTGTTGCCTTTGTAGATATTCATGAAAGTCATGAATTGGACTCCATTGTTTGACTCTGAATTGGTAAGATCTGATGTGGTTGTTGCTGAGGAGAAAGAATTCACTAATGGTTGTAATCTATGGCCCCTTATTTTCAATACTTTATGCTTTGGAGGATCATAAATGTCAATTTTTGAAGCTTTGTGAATGTGTGATATGATGTGAGAAAGGGGATCCAGTGTTATATAAAGTCTGAATTACAGGAGGAGAAGCAAAACAAGCTTCAAAAGTATCGGTAGCTGTAGCAAATTGTTTGGGTAAGCTGTGCATTTGCAAGCCCTCTGCACATTCTTGGTCCTTGATCAACTTGATTCGAACTAAATGTAGGTGTTGTCAAGTTAGCCTTCCTTTCTGTTGGATGTACATGAGGCATGGTGTCCTTGGGAGCATCATGTGACTACATACCGTAACTGCTAACGTAACAGTCAACCCTGCAGCAAACAAACAGTTGGAAAAGTCATTGGATCATCAGATTACTTAAACTAATGAGTCATTTAAGAGGGAAAGGGGGTGGAGTGTGATGTGATCTGTTTATTTGGGAATTCTGATGCTGAGTGATTTTCTTTTGACTTGTTTTTAAAGTTGCCCTGTGCTTTCTACTGATTTACCTGGTTGTGTTCCAGCCCCTCAGGTTTTCAATAAATTTATTTGTGTATGGATTGTTTCCAATGTGTGTTTTGTTTCTGTCTGATAAACCCATCACTCTGCTTAACTCACCGAGCGACTGAGTAATAGCCTCTCTGCTCCTATGATGCTGCTTCGCCTGCTGTGTTCATCCAGCCCTGCACCTTGTTGTCTCCAATGCAAATACACAACTGGTCCTTTATGTCTGAAAAAGGGAACATTTTATGTGTGCATTCTGACAGGAGATATGCCATAGGACTGCGCAGTCTTCAGATCACTTTCAGATGTTGAAGGACTGCTAAGGGTTTTCATTTTCCATTTCCTCCCCACTTCATTTAATAAACCCACACAATTGAGTCAGAGCTCCAATCTCCCCAATTGCTTAATTGTAGTGAGATTATGTATAAATTCGCAAAAGCTGAGGTATTGAGGTCCTGCTGGCTCTTGGCATGCAATTATTGCCGTAGGTAGACATCCAATTATAAGTCAGCAGCTTTTGTGGTGCAGTGATAATGTCCCTACTTCTGAGCCAGACGTCCTAGTTTCATGTCCTACCTGTTACAAAGGTGTGTGGTAACATCTCTGAATGGATTAATCAGGACAGTTCCAAATGTTAGTCAAACAAAAACCAAACATGCACAGCAGGTCAGTCAGAGTGCTGGCTTTTTCTGTTGGCTGTTGGGATTGATAAGAATTCCACTGGCTCAACTTATCCAGGTCGAGAAATGACCCGAAGTTATCGGGAACTGGACAGGAAACATCCCAGCTCCTGAGGCCAATGAGTTCGTCCAAATCCTGTCACTGATGCTAGTCAATTTGTCATTTATTGACTGCCCTGGTGCTGCCGAACCGATCAGCTCACGTATCCATTATTAATTCAGCAGAAAATCAGCCCTATTTTCTACCTCTGAGCCAGCTCGATGATCTCTCAAAACATTCCCCCCACCACTGCGTTATCCAACAGCTGGTTGTTAGATGTGATTTGGACAATGTTCCTTTTGCCAGTTTGCAATATTCACTAAAATCATTCATTTTAACAGGTTTTGTCTTAATGGGGTCCATCTTATACGTCAGTATATACAGAAATGACCTCTTTTGGGGGCTGGAAACATCTGGTTGCTTTCTGCACTGGGCTGGTTTATACACTGAAATTTGGGCCATTAGTGAATCCAGTAGCACAGAGGCTTCCTGAAGTTGGGCTGGGACAAAGTCCAGGTTGAGAGTAGAAATTTTGGAGTCATGAGCTCTAAGGTATGTAATTGGTTGATTTTATAATAGTTATGCACCCTCCAACCAGCATCAACTTCACAGAGGGATTGTGACAATTTTTAACCTCAATGTTGTGTCAAAACAGGAAAAACATTTGAGAAGTGATGCACTAGATAGCCATGAAACCACACTGTCAGTTGTTGTTAGTGAAACAGTTAGGTTATTTTTAAGAGATAGTAGGAACTGCAGATGCTGGAGAATCTGAGATAACAAGGTGTAGAGCTGGATGAACACAGCAGGCCAAGCAGCATCAGAGGAGCAGGATAGCTGACGTTTCGGGTCTGGACCTTTCTTCAGAAATGGACCCATTTCTGAAGAAGGGTCTAGGCCCAAAACGTCAGCTTTCCTGCTCCCCTGATGCTACAGTTTATTTTTAATGTCCTTTTAGGGAAGGACATCTGTCGTACTTACCTACCTGCGACTGCAGACCTACAGCAATATGTAATTTGTCTCTTAACTGCCTTCTGAACAATTAGAGATGGGTAATACACACTGACCTAGTCAGTGAAACACGTTTCATGAATAATGTTAAAGCATTGTTGCAACAACTTAACATTATGCCCTTTTTCCAAGTATTTTTTCGTATCTATTTACATGTTAATTCCTTGTCTCCCCTCCAACACATTCATTCTAATAAAACATGCATTTATATAGTGCCTTTCACAACCGAAAGATATTGCAAAGGACATTGCAACCGATAAAGTATGTTTGAAGTGTAGTCACCGACCAGGCAACCAATTTGCAGACAAAGCTCCTGCGAGCGGCAATGTGATAGAGACTGGATGCTTTGTTTCTGTGATTGTTGATTGAGGACGCAGGCATGTGTTTTTTTTTCAAATGTTGCCGCTGGATCTTTCTACATCCACCAAGGGCAGGCAGGTCTTTGGCTAATTGTGCCAGTCAAAAATTGGCTATCCCTACAGTGCATTCTGTTTTAAGTCCTTTTGGGTAACGGGTGGAAGCATGGCGCGGAGACAATTGCAGGCAGTAGCATCAGGCTAACTGTTGGGAAATTAAGTTTTTGACTGCAGTCCTCTTTTGTCTTGGTGAACATGTTAATGTGTTTCATAAAATGAAATTGCAGAAGTTGGGTTCTGTGCATGTGCCTCAACAGAAAATAATTTTCATCCCAGCGCCTTTCCATTATTATGTGATTGAGGAAAAAAATGGTGCTGTTTAATCTTCTAGGCTGTTGAGCCCTCTGCCTAACAAGTGTGTTTGTGTGAACAATGCTGTCATTAGTGTACAATTCTTAGCACCCTGCGAATTGTACACAGTCATTACGCAAGGAGCCCAAATTCTGCTGCCTGTCAGAAGCTGCTAATAATGATCAGGTAGATGGGCACAAGCTGTGACGCTTAATAACACAAGTGCCATTTGCTCAGCCGAGCTCACAAATATTAATAACTACTCGACATTTAGTACAAAATGTGTAAAGGCTGCCACTACAATTCCATCAGTTCTGCCCATGGCTATGGAACCCAAGGTGTATGTTTTCCAATTACTGGCAATTAATCAAGATCTGTCTGCTACCTTGAGCTCCCGGTATCTCCTCAGGCCTCATTAGGTGGATCAATACATTGTTGTACTGGACTGAAACAATAACGTGATGTGTACCAAACACAGCAGGTTGCATTGGGTCAGAGATAGTAGGAACTGCCGATGCTGGAGAATCTGAGATAACAAGGTGTAGAGCTGGATGAACACAGCAGGCCAAGTAGCATCATAGGAGCAGGAAGGCTGACATTTCGGGCCTAGACCCTTGTTCAGAAAATGATTTTCTGATGAAGGGTCTACGCCCGAAACATCAGCCTTCCTGCTGTGTTCATCCAGCTCTACACCTTGTTATCTCAGGTGCTCTCTGAGCAAAAATAATTGTTATCTAGATACCATCTTTGAATTGGCTTTTTAGCAAGATATGATAAGGAGCTCAAAGATAATGCATGCTACCCTCAATTACTTACAGCCTTATTTTGTGACATTGAAAGGCTGATAATGGCTTAGTTATCTCACCAACTCTCCCTATCTGTGCTATTGTTTGAGAGATTTACACCAGCCAGAATATTTCTGCTGTGCACATTTCAGCTATGCTATCCAGGCCTGTTTTTTGTTAGTTCTCTGGTTGCCTTTAATTAAGCCAACTAGAGACATGGCAGCACTTGAGGACATGGTCCACTTACATTATCACTCCACTCCTTCCTTTATTCCTCTTGTAGATCAGGGGCAGCACGGTGGCTCAGTGGTTAGCACTGCACCAGGAACCCGGGTTCGACTCCACCCTCTAGCGACTGTCTGTGCAGAGTTTGCATATTCTCCCCGTGTCTGCGTGGGTTTCCTTTGGATGCTCCAAGTTTCCTCCCATTGTCCTAAATTGTGTAGGCTAGGTGGATTGGTTGTGTTAAATTGCCTGTAAATTATGTTCAAGGATGTGTAGATTAGGTGCGTTATAGGGGGTTGGGCCTGAGTGGGATAATCTGAGGGTTGGTGTGCACATGTTGAGCCGAAGGCCCTGTTACCACACTGTAGGGATTCTATGATTAAAATATGCCTACTCAAGCCATGTGTAGGGAGTTGCCTGCAATTGTCATTTCAGTAGCTGAAGCATGGCTCAGTTTTAAACCTTTTTAGGGTACTGACTCATTAGGCACAAGGCATCTGATTTCAGCCCAGTCTGTTCCACGAGAGAGCATTGTCGTGCACAGGCCTCAAGAAATGGAGTCTGGACTCTGAAGACATTGTGGAGGTTGACTGCTGGGTTACGCTGCTGAGGCTTGCATGCCCACGTGCCAGGGTTTTTGAATGAGTGGTCTGAGCTGTCCTAGCTAATTTGAGAATGATCCTGAGGCCAGGAAGTTGGTATAACTTTCAGAGCTCTCACTACCAGGAGCCGAATCAAATCCAACAGTCCTCAACCCAGAGATCTTCCAAATCTGAAAGAAATGTGTCCTGGGAGATTAGTGAGGCCACCCAACTGCCTGAGTTCATAGCACTTCCTCACCTCTGTTTTAAAGTGCAACCCTTTATTCTGACATTATGCCCTCTGGTCCTAAACTCTCCCACAGGAGGAAACAACCTTTCCACACCTGCTCTGTCAAGTCCTCTGAGAACCTTGCATCTTTCACTAAAGTTCCTTCTCATTCTTTTATATTATAATGAGTTCAGGCCCAATCTACTCAACCTCTGCTCATAAGGCAGTCCTTCCATACCTGGTATCAAGCTAGTGAATCTTTTCTGGACTGCCTTCAGTGCCAGTGTATCTTTCCTTAGATTAAGGACCCAAAACTGTTCACAGAATTCCAACTGTGGTCTGATTAGTGCCTTGTATTGTTTTAGAAATACCTTCCTACTTTTATACTCCATTCCCTTTGAAATAAATTCCAATATTCTATTTGCCTTCCCCACTATCTACTGAACTTGAATGGTAGCTTTCTGTGATTCCTGGATGAGAACTTTTGAATCCTTTTGTAGCTTGCTGCAATCTTTTTTTGTCTAAATAATATTCACCTCCTCCATTCCTCTTGCCAAAATGCATAACCTCACAACTCCCTACATTATATTCCATCTGTCAAAATTTTGCCCACTCACTTAATCTGTCTATATCCCTCTATTTGTGTCATCCTTATCACTTCCCTTCCCACTTATTTTTGTGTCATTTGCAAACTTGGCGACAGCACATTTACTTTCCTCATCCAAGTCATTAATATACATTGTAAATAACTGTAGCCCCAGTACTGATCCCTGTGGCACTCCATTAATTACAAG